CCAGCAGCCACCACCTGTGGCAGGCCCCGCCCCCCGCCGGCTCCGCCCCCTGGGTCTCCGCCCCCCTCTCCCGCTGGTGGTGGCTACGGGTTGCAGCGCCGGTGGTGGCGGTTTCGGTACCCGAAGTCGGGAGCGCGAAGTCGTTCCCGGGGGCGGAGGCCAGGCTATGATCGCGGGTCCCTGGCGTCCCGCTCGGGCCAACCAGAGTCCTCGTTTCGGCTTTTGCCTGTCCCCGAGCGGTCTCCTCAGCCCGGCCCCACTGCGCGGTTTGCAGCGGCGCCCCCAGCGCGCCCCCTCTGATGGCGGCGGAGATTCAGCCCAAGCCTCTAATCCGCAAGCCGATCTTGCTGCAGCGGGTCGAGGGGTCCCAGGAGGTGGTGAATATGGCCGTGATCGTTCCCAAGGAGGAGGGCGTCATCAGCGTCTCGGAGGACAGGTACGGACGTCTGCCCCTCGGCCGCGAAGAGGGGCGGGACGGGCCGGAGATCCACGAACTCGCGTCGGTTGCTGTATCTCCACGTCGGCTCAAGTGTAGACATGTCCCTTAAGTTTTTATTATAATACGCATCCTGGTGGTGCGCGGGTGTCCAGCTGCGCTTCGTCCCCGCTGTGTGGCTCGGGGAAGCGGAGCTCGGACAGCGGCGTGCGCTCTGGGCTCGCGCGAGGCCGGGTGAAGCCTGCTGACGCCGGGGTGGTCGGTGGACTGATGGTATGACGGTCGCTGGACCTTGGCCCTGTCCTGAGGGCGGGAGGGGGAGAGGGAGGAGCCGCATGGCCCTGCAGGTGTGTGCGTGGGCAGGATGCTCCGAGCTGCCTCTGAGAAAATAACAGGGTTTTTGAGTACTCTGGTACAGTTCTTAGGGCTCCGAACTGAAAACAAATGCCACTCGTCTCCTGTACATTCCCACCAAATCCAGATCTCCTGGGCATCTTACAGGGAATTCAATGACTGTTGCAAGTTGTGAAAAGAGTAACTTCGGGCTTTTGCCCAAAGGAGAGGTGCCATCTCATCTTTTCCTCCTTTTTCTTATCTCTTCAAGCTCGGAGAGAAGCGCCTAGAAATTACAAGGGACCTCTGCAAATAGCTCGAGTTCCTTCCCTTTGCTTGCTTCCTTTCTTTTTGCTTAATTTGCAAAAGTGGATCCAGTTCTTCCCTTAATATTTTTTTTTCCAGACAAGCGTTTTTGCATTAATATTCTGTAATACGCAGAAATTAGGCTGAGGAAGCTAATTTTCACAGGAATGCTATTTGAATGTAGTATAGAATTTTCTCGAATTGTTCCTTGGATAATATCAACTAATATTCTAAAAAATTTAACACTGTAGAGAGGTGTATGACAAGGGGCTATAACCTTAAAACGGTAGTTAGGTTTTATTAATGTAAGTTCATATTATGCTGAGGTACAGAGTATTTTTTCTCCTTGACTCCTTAAATTTCAGGCAGAGGTTAAGTAACAAAGTGTTTATTACTCTCTTTATAGTCATTTCAGCATTTGGCATACAATATGGCCTCAAAAAATTTGCCTTATAGGTCTATTCATATCATAAGTTTTTTAGTATAACTAGGATGAGTATATTAATGACATGTGCTTGTCTATATCATACTCTATACAGATGGCCAAACGGATTCATTTCCTATGTAAATCCAATGAAAAACATTGTAAACATACACCAGTGGCAAGCAGTGTGCAGTAAACAGAAGAAATTCATGGCTGAGATGGGCTATGTGGATGTAGAAACCTTTTGAAATTCACAAAGAAGTCTTATGAGGTTTAATTTTTCGACAGAGGCAAAATTCTATTAGATTGCTTCTAGACCTAGAAAGTCTTTTGTCATAGAATTGTTTTAAAGGAATATATTGATAGATGTCATTTTCCCCAGTCTGTAACCGCTAGAGATGAAACCGCTCAACCTAACTGCTGTAGGAAATTCATGAGTTTGTTGAATCAAGTAAAAAGATAATGTTCTTTAATAAGAGTTTTGAAACTTTCTGATTTGGTTGATGGTTTGGGAGTAGAGTTAAGTTTTCAGTTTTGTTTTTTTTTTAGAGTTCAGAGATATCTTAGAGGTTATTTGCTCTAACTGCTTTATTTCACAATTGAGAAAATTTAGACCAGAGAATTTACCTGCCCAAAGTCATGTAGCTGGTGATGGAGCCTACCTTGGTACTAAGTCTTGATTCCTGTATTAGTATGTTTATCTTGAAGCAAACAGCTTTAGAGGCGTGCATTTCAAAGTATTTGGAGAAACTAAAGAAGCATAGAAGAAAAAAACAAAGATAAATTTCATTTGATTATAGACAAAAGATGTAATGTTTAGGTATGGATTAACTTCATTTTCATTTTCCTACTTTACAATGTAACTAACAATTTATTTTATTACAGTTACTGTTAAATAAGGCCCACCTGTAAGTTCGGGATTATTCTTTACGTATATTTTATTATTATTCAAATCTGCAAGTCTATGTTTCTGTACTCATGTGAAAATAACTTTGTCATTTAGAGCTCAGTTTTGGTTATGGTTTTCATTAAAAGAGTATTGATCTGTATTCTTGCTTTTCAAAACCCAAAGTCACTGTCACTAAAGATATGAAAATAGAATATTGATTTCTATCAAACCTACAAAGCCATTTCTCTTGACTGCTTCAGCTAGAAACTAGTAAGTCTTCATTCCTGAAAATTAAGGTTAAACCACAGATAATGTCCTATTCTTGAATGACAGTGCCCCATAAGTTCGTTTAAAACCCTGGTTTTCTTTTTTGACCTCTGATTCCTGATAGCCTTTATCCATACCTTTGAAAACATTTAACATTTTCTGTTTTAAACAGTATTATAGATATTTGTCCATTTATCTTCTCCATGAATTACCTAAGGTGCTATGTGCCTCCTGTTCATTGTAGTATCTTTGGGGCCTAGCATAGTGCTTAGCATACAGTGGGCTCTCAGTAAACATATATTGTATCGGTAACTGATCTATTTTTGTTGTTCCTGAAAGCACAGCATCTTAACTATTTGTATACATTCATTTGATATTTGTTGAATGAATTTTATGACAACCTATAAAAGCCCAGCGTGGACAAATGTATACTTGTGGACTGGGTGGCCTTTAAGGTGCCTTAAAACTTTGGAAGTTCATGCATTATTTCATTCATTCTATCGACAAATATTTGAATTTCTACTGTGGTTTACGCACGTGCACGGTACATTGGTGAAAATGAAAAGGTCCTTTCAGAAAATTTTAAAAGGTAATAAAACCACCACCTCTAAGATTTATTATTGAAAAGAGAATTTTCAGATGGGAAAAGTGGCTGGATTGCACAGTCCTTGTTGTCTCCTGCTTTTTATCTTCCTTTGGAGGAGTTTTTTTTTTTTTGGAGTACTGTTTTCACCCTGGGTTTTGTAGTGATAATCTAATCTGCAGGCCCAAGAGTAGATAAAAACTCTCACTCTCAGTTTATCTTAGCACAATGAAGACAGCCTGGAACTTTACTGCATATCAAGGGAGGAAATATAAGGGACTATAATAAATATAAAAACAATCTGACTTATAATTGCAGATTTCTGTTGCTACCATAAAGCAGAACTTGTTTCAGAGCTCACTGGCCTTATGTGAGTATCTGCTTTGGTTGTAGCTGAATTCTGTCTTCATAGAACAAGCCCAACTTTGGTAGTTTGGGTTCCTTGTTTCCACGCTTCTTTCTGGATTGTCTTTTCTGAGTGAATGTCTTGTTAACATTCCTTGCTTAGGAGCTTCCTTCCAGACATCTTGGCTCTATTTTAGTTAAGACTGATGTGTCATTTGCAGCTTTCCAGGGGCTCCCTTGTGCAGTGAGTGGCAGCTTCTCCAAGCGTTGAAGGCCAAGAGAGAGACTTCTCTCTAGGTAGGACCCAGCCCCACCCAGACCTTTATCTTTGTAAATTCTTTATAGGTGTATCTTAACACAACAATCTTACCATTCATACAGAGAGTTTCAGTAACTTTAGGTAGTTAGTATTAGACAGTCATAAGAAATTTTTCCTTTACCAGGAGTCTATACCCATGCAATGGGTAAAAAGGGATTTTAATCTCAATGTGAGGAGATGTGCTGAATAAAGACAGGTACAAACAGTTTCCTCTGGGGTTGCCTAGGAATCTCCTCTGCTTGTGGTGGTTAGAGAAAAGGAGCTACTTCAGATGGATCTTGCAGGATGAATAGGAGTCCGTGTGAAAAAGCTAGGGTAAAGGAAAGGATATTCTAGATAGAGGAGGAAGAAAAAACTCCCATTTGTTGAGAGGCACTAGAATGGACTGCTTAAGAGTATAAACTCAGGAGCCTTGAATTCAGAACCCAACTCTGAGTGTCACACTTTGAACAACCTGAAAAATCAGTGTCTCCAGGGGAGTAACTATAATAATGAAAATTCACAAAACCTCTAGATGCAAGAATTTGGAATTCTTTTCTGGATAGAAAGCCCCGAGAATGTGGTGGTGGGACGTGGAGAAGGAGGCTATGGACGAGGGGATCCTGGGGAACTGCTGCTTTATATTCTGACTTAATTTGGGTCCAATTTATACAACATAGCTGTATTCTCAGTAAGCTCTGGAGACAGAACCCCTGCAATTTCTGAAAGGGAGTCAGATTTTTATCTCATATAAAGTGACCTGATCCCTAATGCTTTGCACAATGGAGATAGGCAGTATCATCATTGAATGAAATTAAACCACTGGCTGATCAATCGTGTTTGGAACGAAATGGTCCTGAGGAAGTTGTGAGTTCTCAAGAGCAAAGATATTTAAGTTGAGTCTGAGAGGAATTTAGCATTTTGCTTTAGGCCAGGGTAACATTACAAAAGGGGATCGGGATGAGAAGGGGCTGGGACTAGAAAAGCCTTGGATTTTTTAATAATCTAAGGTCCTTTTTTTCCAGTTCTGAGCTACTGTGATTATAAGTGGCTATGATTATTTGACTATTTCTTCAAAAGATATATCTTAAAATTTCATTTAATTTTATAAATCCATATACTATTGGTTCTTTTACCATTGATTCTTTTCATTGTGAAATTACACTATGCAGTTCTCTAGTTGAAACCATTAGTTTCACTAATACCTTAGCTCAGTTCAGTTGAGCTTCTGGTAGAGTTTTATGTATCATGTATTTTATAACACATCAAAAATAATTTAACTCAAATTAAAGTTTTTCACACAGTGTAAGCATAATTCTGATAGTCGAGGATCTTCTTAGAGTGGTAGTTTGAGGTCTCGAAAGTTGCCAAAATTGTAACACATCTAAACTAATTTTTGAGTGTGTCACGTCTATTTAAATGTCATAAAATTAATAAACCTCTAACTATGCACTTGAGATTTATCATTTGGCAGTCATAATTGCTGGTTTCAAGGTTCCAGAATGAGAATTTGCCCCATATGATTGTTGAAAATTAGACTTTTATGCTGGATTCA